CTAACAAGCCACTACCACCAAACCAGATCATAAACCAGGATTTATGGGGGAAAAGAGGGATTTGATCTACAAAGAACTCTGGGAAAGAATGTCCAAAAACAGCAAAGGAGAAAAACCAAAATTATGTACCTTGAATTAGACAAAACCAGCAACATTATATGGAGTTCCCCTTCAAAAGTGGTTTGGTTGAGGCTTTCTTTTCTTTTCCTTTTTTTAAAAGTTTTTTTTTTCAAGACAAGGTTTCTCTGTGTAATATCCCTGCCTGTCCTGGATCTCACTTTGTAGACCAGGCTGGCCTCGAACTCACAGAGACCCACCTGCCTCTGCCTCCTGAGTGGTAGGATCAAAGGCGTGCATCACCACTGCCTGGCCAAGGATTTCAACAAGGTGACATTAGAGTCAATCAGGGTCATGCACTTGATATGCACTATGAATGCCAGGCAGGCAGGAGAGGTGATGGCAGACATATGCCTGGAGAAGGAGTTGAGAGTTCTATATCTGGATCTGCAGGCAGCAGAAAGAGAGAAACATTGGGACTGGCTTGGGCTTCTGAAACCCCAAAGCATACCCCCAGTGACATACTCCCTCCAACAAGGCCACACGTGTTATGTGAACTCACGAGAGTCTGTTAAAGGATCTCAAGAATTTATTAAGGTATAAAATGGGGATAATATACTCACTGATACAGAACAAAGTAGACACTGATGCTTATCCAGCTGTTGTCCTCTGTTCTGCCCAGAAGCGATGGGAACCAACTGTCCTGATCTGTCTACCCAAGAGAGCCCACAACCCCTATTCCTCTGCTCTTAAGTGGTACATACACAGGTAAGACCACACCCTCGGACTTTCTACCTCAAAGACATTGGCTGAAAGGAATGAATTCTCACAAGATACAACTACTCCAACAAGGCCACACCTCCTTATCCTTCTCAAGTAGTGCCACTCCCTGATGACCAAGGACTCAAATATTCAAATGAACCCATGTGGGTCATTCCTGTTCAAAACACCACGTTCCACTCACTAGTCCCCAGAGGCTTATAGCCATATCATAATGCAGAAATGCATTCAGTACAACTTCAAAAGTCCCCAAGTCTATTATAATGGCCTCAACACTGCTTAAAAGTACTAAGTTCAAAGTCTCCTCTGAGACACAAGGCTAAAATAATAAGAAGAAGAAAATAAAAAATTAAAAAAAACCTGTAACCCCCTGCATAAACAAAAAAAAAAAAAAAAGGAAACTACTTATTTCCAATATACAATGGACATACATTACCATTCCAAAAGCAGGGAAAAGGAACGTAATGAAGAAATACTGGACTAAAGCAAGACCAAAACCCAGCAGGGCGAACTCCAAACTCTGCATCTCTGTGTCTGTTGTCCACGTGCTCTTTAGATCTCCAACTCCTTTCAACTTTTTGACTACCACATCCTCCTCTCCCTCGGGCTGATTCCAACTGGGTCTGCAGCTCTCTTTGGCGGATGTCTCACAGCTCTGGCATCCCCAACCTCTTGGAGTCTCCAACACTATCCAGGCTTCACCTTCACAGCTTCACACACACAATGGCCTCTCTGGGCTTCCATTCAGGGACACTCCAATACACACCTAGCCTCAGCGGCTTTCCTTAGCCACAGAAGGAGATTCCACAACCCCCTTCTTGTATTCTCCATTCTAAGAACAGAACCACCCTGTAGACGAATTTCTAAACAGTCTTATTAAATAAGAAACACAGAGCCAAATACAGAGGTAATAGCCAAAGAGATCAGAGTAATAGCCATGACTAGCCTTAGCTTACCACCTCACTGTAGCTTCCACAGAAAGAGCTTCTTCCATCTAACCCATGTTTTTATTGCCTTCCTATTTTGCCTTCTCATTGGCTCTAAGCCCAGTCACATGACTTCCTCGTCACTGCCTGTCTATACTGACCCCCAGTTCTCTATGGTGGGTACTGGGATTAAAGGCTCATGTCACCATGCTTGGCTATGTCCTTGAACTCACAGGGACTCTGATCGGATTAAGGGTGTGTGCTAGCATGGCCTGACTTCTGTTTTATGGCTATTTGACCTCTGATCTTCAGGCAACTTTATTTATTAACATGCGAATAAAATAGCACGTTTCAGCACAAATAAAATATCACCATATCACCCAGCTAAAGCTGCCAAGTAACTAAGTGTGGGAGTTAGGGTTTATGTGGAACCTGTATCATGGGGATTGGCAGTGATAATGGGCAGGCCATTACAGAGAGATAACATCAGCTGAATAGGAGAGCCTTGACAAAATTTTCCTTAATTTTAAAACAGGAATAGAATTTGTGTATTTCAAATTGTTGAAGGATTGATAGAAATGAGACGGGTTGTGGGCATTTAATGTTATTTTCAAACTAAATGCTAAGTCACATTATTATGGGACACCCCTTCCTTTTGTATTAAGAACATATGATACTGCTCACTTTTGTTTTGGCTTAGTAAACAGTTCAAGTTTGGATCTTGGAGTATCCACTTCCCCAAAGAGCTCAGCTCAGACTCAGTATACTTCCTACGAACCCTACATCACTCAATGCCTTTGGCTCTGCCAAGGCAGGCTAACTAAGCATAAAAGCCAGTGAGGCCTTCACTCATGTCTCAGCAAAGGAGTTCAGCCCCTGATGTAAAGGATGCTGGCAGCCACAGGCATCTCTGAATGCAAGAAGCCTCGTTCCTTGAAGTCATCTTGAGAAAAAGATGAATTTGAGGGCTGGAGAGAGGGCTCAGCCGTTAAAGGCTAGACTCACAACTCCCCGAAAGATGAATTTGTTTCCATGACAACCGCAACAAAGCAAAAGGAAAGTATTCTTTCTCTTCAAAAAGGAAACCACAGAACTGGGCACAGTGGCTCACACCTGTAATCTTAGCACTGAGGAGGCTAGCGGGAACATCAGGAACTGGAGGCCACGCTGGGCTACATGGGGAGGCCTTTTTTCCCCTTTAAGGAAACTGTAGAAGAAAACGTGGGGTAGAAGAGAAAGAAGAGGAGGAGGAAAAGAAGGTGGAGGAGGAAGGAGGAGGAGCAGGAGAAGGAGGAGGAGGGGGAGGAAGAACTAAAAATGAATTCCAACAGCCATGGTCTTAGTGGATTAAAAATACTTTCGAGACTCTCGTGCAACATATTTTGATCGTATTCTTTCTGCCCTCACCCCTCAGCAGATTTGTAAGGGCAACACACACTGGGCTGTGCACTTCTCCAAGCTAACGTGACTGACTCTGCCTAAGATTTGACTTTGAATAAAAATGAAGCAAAGTCTGGAGTAACCCTGTGAACTGATCTCATTTAAAAGCTATTTTTAATGGTCATACGGGAAGGGTCAGCGATAAGGCACAGTTAGAAAAGACTGTCTTATCTAGGAATGCGGGCGTTGAGATCACTGATTTTGTGCATGTCTTCCTGGGATCTCCAGAAGACTCAGCGAGCTGAAATTACAGGAAAAATGGGCACATTTTTTTTTTTTTTTTTTTGGCTTTTGTCTGAGTCAAGGTTTTCGACTCATTTGCGACCTTCTATCACTTGTCAGGAAGTCTGGGAAACTGAGATTACTGGAATGACCACATTGTAACTATCTGGAAGGAGATAAGCACAGGTCAGTAACCTCAGCCACAGCCAAGTATCCCTCAAGCCCCCGGGGAAGGAAACAGAAGCTCTGAGGTATACTCACCTGCCTGATTCTTGTTGCCCACAAGTTCATTTTCACTTTTAAGATCCATTATTTTTAACCAGAGGGAAGCAAGATTCTAATGTCAAACTCCATGCTTATTTAAAAGTCCCATTCTGGATCAACCAAGTCAGTCAATTCAGGGAAGCTAATGCTCTCTAGTACCCTGAATTTTCACCTGCATTTTTTCCTATCAGTGTTATTAATAGCTCCTATCTCTATATTAAGGACTTTGGGGTGATGGAATAGGCTCATAATGCCAGCACTCAAGAAGCTGAGGCAGGGGGATCTTGAGGTGGAAGCTAGCCTGAGCTATATGACACAGCCTTGTTTATTGTGTGAGTTTACTGGGTACAATGAAATTGGCAATGTCTTATCTTCCGCCTGCCTTGATATTGCTTAACTGGAAGAAAATACTGTGGTTGTCTCTCCAAGAAGAAATAATAAATGTTGATTATTAACAAACGAAATTACAGCCCTTACTGGAATCTGCTCACTTAAATGCAGACTTCCTTGCCCACCCTTGGTTTCGAAACTGAATTTGAAAAAAAGCCCTCCGGGAGACTGCCAAACAGAGCGGAAGCCACAAGAGTCCACATCATTCTTAGTGCCAGAGAAAAGACTCACAAATAATGTACCTCCCCTGAAATTAAGAACAGAGTCCAGACAAATAAATGGCTTCCACAGGATGACTGTGAGAATTGGTATGTGGGTTCCCAAGCCCGGAGGACGGCTAGAACATCCTCCGCTACATCTTCAGTCGCTCAGTGTTCTCCCTCTCTTTCCCATCTCCTTTCCATCTCCACACCCGCCTTCTGTTTTTCTCACCCCAACCTCCTCGAACTTTGGAAATCAAGAGTGTTCACTCTGCTATGAAGGACCCCCGAGAGGCTGCTCCCCCTCTCACCACCCAGGACTAGGTGTTGGGCGAAGGATGACCAGCCAGAAATGACAGGTGAGGAAGCTTCTGGACTGCTTGCGTGCGTGCGGGGTGGCAACATCCCGAGACAGGTTCCAGTCCTATTTGCTATGGCTGGACTCTTACCCACACCCCTCGCCTCGGGTTCAGCATCTTCAGAGCGTAACCACGGCCCCCTGAGGCCGGAGAGCAGGCACACATCCTTACTCCCTGCGGGTCCACCACCACCACCACCACCACCACCCCTCGGCGGCCACCCTTAACCAGGAAAGGACCCAGTTCCCTTCTGCAAAGCCTAGCTCCCTGGTCACGTGTCGTCTAGGGCAGCCTCTTGTTGGAGAAGGTGCGGTCGCCTGGGGTGCCTTGCTCCTCAAACCGGGTCAGGAGACCTCAGAAAGGCGTCAGGGGGCAGGGCTTCCTGTGGGAAAGGGCCGGGAGGACGCCGGTGGCCTCCTGGCTGCCTCTGCCGGCTTCCTGCCCGCCGAGGGCTCTGCCGAGGTCACCCGCGCCTGGCCGGTGTGGGCGCGCGCGTGGGAGGCTCCGTGGCGCGGGAGGATCGGCGGGGTGGGTTCGGGGAGCTCGCACGGCCGTGGCAGGGACGGTCCCCCCCACGAAGCCGCGTCCTGCCACTTTCACCAGAGGCTCAGCAAGGCTCACGGACCCTCAGGTCCTCAGGTATCTGTTGGTCAGCAGTCTGGGGGTGAGGGTGAGAACTTCGCTTTCTTTTTTAAAAATCTCCACCAAGAGGGCAGCTTTGTCCAAAAGTTTTCAGGGTGGTGTCATCATCTACCGCCCCTCCATGGTTTGGTTTACAAGCAGACGTGCCCTATATAATAAGGAAAAGTTTAAAAAATTATAGACAGCTCGATCCCAGCTTTATAAAATATGTGATCTTTATAAAGGGAGGAATCGAACGATACTGGGGGCGCGCTGGTGTGTGTGTGTGTGTGTGTGTGTGTGTGTGTGTGTGTGTGTGTGTGTGTGTGTGTGTCTCTGTTCTCTGTTCTTTGTAAACTTTTCATCTAGTCGGAAACCAGAAAAAAGAATGTCCTTTGTTTTTTCCTAGCTCTCGAGCCGACGTCCTGGTTCCCCGCCGCCGCCTTGCGCTGTCATTGAACTAGGGAGACTTTCCCGCCTACTCGAGGCTCCCCGGAGAGCCGGTCCCGGGTGCACCAGCTTCGTCCAGACCCACTTCCCAGCTGCAGCCGGGTCACAGGAAAACCGATCGTCGTAGTGGTCCGGGACTTTCCCAGGCTTTCGGGTCAGAAAGAACTTCCGGGTTCTGGGGGAGGCTCTGCAGGGGGTCCGCAGCCACGGAGGGGGATGGGGTAGGGGTTGGAACTGGAGGGTGAACAGAGGGAGACGGAGAGTCACTGAAAAGCGCTGAGCTCGTCCTTCGCTCGCCACTCCTGGTGCTTGCTCCCCCTCACTCCCTCTGCAAGACTGGGAACTTACGAGATTGCTGCGGACAGATGTCTTCTGAGCAGGGGGCCATGGCAATTGAGGGAGTTGGGCAAGAGGATCGTTTTGCCTTTTGTTTCTTCCAAGTTTCTCTTCCCCCTTCTTCTACCATCTCAGTTTCGGGTGTTTGTCAGGGAGGAAAGCTTGTGTTGAAAATAGAAACGTCCTTCTTGCCATCATATTCTCTCCCAGAGGCTAAGCTGGAGCAGAGGGCAGTGATGGTAAACGTTTTAGAGGGGACCCTTCCTTAGCTCACCATTCAGAGGAACGTCTGTTTACAGCCAGCGTTGTTTCAAACAAAACGAATTCTCAACACGCGTGACCACCCTCCCAGGGGAGCCGTGCAAACTTCCTGTTAAACTGTTGGCACACCTGGTTCATTTTAGTAAAAACATCGCTCTGCGTCTTCTCATCAGTGGCACTGGAAACCAATCAGCCGTCAGTGAAAGCAGAGGCGGGCAGCCATTCACTGGTTCACAGGACATAGGATAGGGGTCAGAGAGCAGCAGCTTGCTTGCTTGGCGTGTGTGTGTGTGTGTGTGTGTGTGTGTGTGTGTGTGTGTGTGTGTGTGTGTGTAGTTGGGATGTTGGAGCTGCTTTGTACCTAACACACCTACTCATATCGCTCTTTTTCTCAGAAGAAGAGACAAGGCTCCAGATCTAGCGAGCTGTGGCCAGCCACCAGGAAGGCTCTCAGGTGAGTGTGTGCCTCTTGGGATCCAGCCTGAGAAAGGTTAGCCCTGAGACTGGGGTGCAGGCCGGTGCCTTTGGCTCGTGCTTGTTATCAGAACTTGTTTTTCATTCCACTTATCTCTTTACTGTTAGCAGAACTTGTTTTTCATTCCACTTATCTCCTTACTGTGTAACAGTGTCTTTGTGAACATATATGACCGTTTACCGGAGGTTAGTGTTTTACAGCCTTGTGATGACAGATAACAGTAATATACAGGGTAATGCACACATTACTAATGAAACTTGACTATCGGTAATTCTATTTCATTCCACAAAAAGCTGATGACTTGTGGTTTTTGTAAAGAAAAAAAGATGTTAAATGTTTGATTAGGTTTTAGTGTACGTGGTGTCAAATTCCAAAGGTGCAGGGTGTGAGGTGAAAAGTCTCTCTCCTGCCCCTGGCCCTTGGTTTCCCTTCCCTGAGACGAACGCTGCTACCACTGTATATATAGCCTGTTGACCTTCTATGCTATGTGATCATTTAAAACTAAGAGTTCAAAAACTTTTTTGAGCCTCCTCCTCCTCCTCTTAAATTTGTTGTTTTAATTGTTCATTTCTGTCTTTCTGCTGAATACCGAAGTGCTAAGGATTCAAGCTACCTTGTAGAGGGACCTTGTGCCTCTGGAAATTAACAAACAGATTAGTTTGTCCGTTGGCCTTTGTGACTTCCCTAACAACCTGCACAGCTGCCAGCGAATGGCAGGCCTGTGCTCATATTCTCACATGCAGATGTAAGGATGATTGACATTTGCGGAAAGCGATGTTTTGGACCACATCCTCTTATGAGGCAGCGCCAGCAGCGCTTCCCTCCTTAGCAGTGGTGTCTAGGCTGGTATCCCGCTGGTCTCAGCACACATACTTCTGAGCCCCCTTCTCTTGACTTCTACAGTTTGCAAAGCATAACGGTTAGTCCCAGAAGGGAGGCAGTTTGTGGCGTGATAAGAGACAGTGCGTCAGAGTTCGGATCCTGGCTTTGACTCCTTGTTTTGTACCTGCACCCACTCTTTAAATTGCACAAAACTCCATCTCCCCCACCTGTAAAGGGCAGTTCATAGGACTATTTTGAAGATAAGCCAAGATGGTCCAGGTGCAGGACACAGCACCCCGTGCCTAGCCTGTGAAAGGCCTATCATAAGCAGAAGCCTTTAACTGTCGGCCTGTCATCATTTCATCTTCCTGAGACGGGTGAATGCGTCTGTCCTCTTAGGCTACCTTAGGGTGCAGTAACAGCCTCGAGAATCTCAGGGAAGAAGAATGGATTTCTTGCTCATATGACACATGCCTTATGTGTCCGTCTTTGGTCCTTCTCTCTGGCACTCAGCCTGAACTACTTCTTTAGGGGGCTGTGATGTTGTGGCAGGGGCATGAAGGAAGGTGAAACTACACGGTGGTGGCTTTTAAAACATCTTGGTAGTGGCACACACCTTTAATCCCGGCACTCAGGAGGCAGAAGCAGGGGTATCTCTGAGTTCGAAGCCAGCCTGTTCTACAAAGCGAGTTCCAGGACAGCCAGGGCTACACAGAGAAACTTTGACTCGGGGGCGTGGGGTGGCGGGGGAGGGAGATCTGCTAGGAAGTAAGCTTCTGCATAGCTTCCACGATGCGTGATGCGTGTTTCTGTTTGTGTTGATGTCATTATCAGTCTAAAGCAGGGGAGCCTTCTCCAAAGGGCCCGCTGGGGAACAGGGGAGAGCGAGGTGCAGCAAACACTTGGCCTCTGTGTGTGCTGGAAGGAATCACAGTTGTGGACTCAGAGGTCCATCAAACCCTAAGAATGAATTCACACCAAGACTTCCATGGGCCCCAGGTGCCAGCTTTCCCCTTACAGTGAGCGTCCCAGGTCTGCCAGCCTGTTTGCAGCAGACACTTTTGGCGAATGGATGCACTCAAAAGACAGAACTGCAAGCTCATGCGTTATGTAAAGCATCCAAAACAATATTTAGCTGTCACCAAAAACACTGCATTTGGGAAAACACCGGTTTTTGTTTTTTTGGGTTTTTTTTTTGTTTTGTTTTGTTTTGTTTTGTTTTTTAGACGGTTTCTCTGTGTAGCTTTGCGCCTTTCCTGGAACTCACTTGGTAGCCCAGGCTGCCCTCGAACTCACATAGATCCGCCTGCCTCTGCCTCCCAAGTGCTGGGATCAAAGGCGTGCGCCAACACCGCCTGACGAAAATACCGTTTTTGTTTTTTTTTAACATAGTTCTTTTGTGACTGTGAAAGCCCAGGGATAGGCTGGAGTTGAAGCACTCCCTGGACAAAAATGGAGATGGTTTCTGCCTTTCTTTTTTTCAAAGTCTTTGCTTCTTATCAGAAAAACTTGTGTGCGCGCGCGTGTATGTGTGTGTGTGTGTGTGTGTGTGTGCATGTGCGTGTGTGCGCACCCGAGTGTGTGTAAGATGTGTTGTGTACACAGGTATGTGCATGCATGCAGAAGCTACTGTCAGTGTTAGTCATCAGGCATCGACTACCTTCTTTGAGACAAGGCCTCCCACTGGCCTACACTTTGCAAGGTAGGCAATGCTAGCTGGCCAGGGAGCTCCAGGGACCTGCCTGTCACCGCTCCCTCTCTTACCAACACTGGGAATACAAGTAGGTGTGACATGCTCCTCCGTTTTTTATGTGAGTCCTGGAGATCTAGGCACACTCCTCACACTGGCAAAGGCAAGTGCTTTATCAACCCTGCCAGCTTCCAAGTCCATTGTTTTCTTTGATGTTTTTGACTTGCAGGTGTAATGCAGTTTTACTGTAGAAAACTTTTAAGCAAACAGGGAATATAGGTGGAAAGTGGATGTCACCCGAGATTCACAGCAATGAATTCTTTTTATCAATGCATAAATTATTACATCATTGCATAACTCAGTGTAATTATTCTCATTCATGTTGTCTGCTTCTTGAATAATGAGACTTCATTATCATGATGAAGTATTTTGAAACAATATGGTGAAGCCGTTTAATCAGCTCCACCCATTCATTGCATGTTAGCTACTTCTTGCTGGCTTCAGTTTCAATCATTTTTACATCCTTGGCCCAAGATTTTGAGGAGTCTTCTCACTGCTTTCCTTTTTTTAACTTACACAGGATCTCTTACCTTGCTACGAAGTTGAGTATGCTGCAACAATGTCTAAGAGACAAGAATATGAAATTAAAATTAAAGATTAATTTCCAAGTTAAAAAAGACATATTGCTCAGCTGTCATTTATGGAGTAAATGAGCAAAGCTTGATTGTAGCAGCATGACTTTGTAAAACAGAGAAAAATGATGCCTTAAAAGTAGCCGGCACTGGGTATGATGGGAAGATTGGGAGGGGCTATGTACTGAGACCTTGTCTTAGTTACGATATTTCTGTTGCTGTGATACAGCACCATGACCAAGGCTTTCTTTTAGAAGAGAGAGTTTATTTGGGGATTACAGTATCAGAGGGCTAGAGTCCATGGCCTTCATCATGAGAACCATGGCAGCTGGCAATTAGGCATGGTACAGCAGCAGTAACTGAGAACTCACATTGAAACAAAAATGCCAGGCAGGAGGAATTAACTGGGAATGGTGTGAATTTTTGAAATCTCAAAGGCCACCGTCTCTATGCCTCCCCAACAAGGTACATCTCCTAATCAGTCCTAAACAATTCCACCAACCGTGGACTAAATATTGAAATATATGAGTCTGTGGGGCCATTCTCTTTCAAACCACCACAGACCCACTTAAGAAAAACAACACAGGAAAAGGCTAAGATAAAAGGGTAGTGAAAATAGTTTTCAAACCAGCAGTTTTGATTCTAACATCTAAGATAGATAGCAGTTTGATACTAACTGGTTTTTGCTTTGTTGTAAACAAAACCAGGGCAACTATAAATTTCACTTAATTATAAAGCCTCATTGATGGGGCTGGAAAGATGGCTCAGTGGTTAAGATCTCTGGCTGCTCTTTCAGAGGACCCAGGTTTAATTCCCAGTACCCAATGGCAGCTCACACCTGTCTGTACCTCTAGCTCCAGGGACTCTGATACCCTCACACAGACATATGCAGGCAAAACACCAATGCACACAAAATATAAATTCAATTTAAAAAACCTCATTGAAGACTACTGCTTCAAAAGCCCTAAATCAGCATGAGCAGATAAAACCCAACCACACAGACAAGCGAGAGTCATTCAGAGGTCACGGTGAACCCTCGGCAGCTCTTGGTAGAGGTGCCCTCAGCACACTTGGTGGAAAGAGTGGTGTGGCTATGGCAAAAAGGCACCCATCTGCATGGCGCCACCAAGCCCAGAACTAAATATAATGGTTTCTATTTGTAGGAGAGAAGTCATTCTCCGTGGAAAAATATGTGCTTGCATGCATTTGTGTGTGTGTGTGTGTGTGTGTGTGTGTGTGTGTGTGTGTGTGTGCATGCACGTGCGTGCGTGCGCATGAACACATATATACATGCTCACATAATTATGCTTGTGTGGAGAACCTGTTTGTAAAGTTAAAGGCAACTTTTTAGTGGTTGGTTCTAGAACAGAAAACTAAAAGACTGAGATTGTGTGAGAGCCTGGTTTCTAAATGCTTTTTATTTTTTTGAACTTTTAAGTCATTTTTATGTAGTTTTAAAACTGTTAGGTTTTTTTTAACTGTAGTTCTGTAACAAAATAGCTTCAGAAAATTTTAAGAAATGAATTTTCCTTTCCTGTTGTAAATATCCTGTAAATAACACCCCATCCCACCGGCATTGTAGTAGACCCGTGTACAGTGAGGTCTGGGTGGGGCACCTCAGGCCTTGGGCTCCAAGGATGCCAACAGTAGCTAGATGGAACTACTGTGATTGATGACTGCTTTTCAAGACATTTACAAAAGAAACATGGACACAAAGGACTCCAGGACCAGTGAGGGCTGTGGTACTGAGGTAGCCTCATGCCAAAAATGTAATGTCTAAATGAAAGAATACAGGAATCATGAGAAGTATTTACTTTTTAATCATTAATCTGCCAGAAATTTAAGATTTAATTTACCCTAAATTAATTCAATTATATAAGGTGATAATATCGCAACTATTTATAATTTTAATGAAAAATTTTTTACCTTATTTTGTGTGTATATGGGTGTTTTTCTATATGTACATATGTGCACCAGGTACATGCAGTGCCTAAGGAGGCCAGAAGAGGGTATTGCATTCCCTGGAACTGGAGTAGCAGGAGGTTGTGAGCCACCATATAGGTGCTGGGTGTCTCACCAGGCCCCTCTGGAAGAGCAACCAGTGCCCTTAGCTCCAGCCCTGTTTATAACCTTTAAGTTTTTTATTTAAAAAAGGTTTCACAATTTATAGTAATCACGTAGAATTAATAGACTATAGGTCTTCTTTGTGTACAGATCGTCGGAGGATATTAAAATGCAAACCAATTGTTTTTGAGACAGCCTTATTAGGTAGCCCAGGCTGGGCTTGAACTCGTGATCTTTCTGCCTTAACGTCTCAGAAATTACAAGGGTGTGCCACCACGACACACCTGATTTTATTCTTAAAGTCCATCCGTCATATTTCTAGGTGTGCCACTACTTAACAAAAAGGGAATTGAGGCTTCCCTCTGCTCCCCCTGAATCACTGCACTGTTGGTAGTCATCCTCATTATGAAAGTGGTCAAAGCAGAAATAAAACAAATCAGGAGAAGAAGGGTTAGTATAGGAGTCGTCCGTGTGTTGTTTTCTTCATTTAGAATCCCCTACCACGCTTTGAGCACACTCTTAGAGAGGGCAGTGTGGGCTGAACTAACCTGATGCTTTGACTGTTGCAGGCCAGGGGACGTCATGTCCTCCTTTGAAGATGCTGACACAGAAGAGACAGTGACGTGTCTCCAGATGACTGTTTACCATCCCGGTCAGCTGCAGAGTGGAATATTTAAGTCAATAAGGTTTTGCAACAAAGACAAATTTCCTTCTATTGAAGTGGTGAAGTTTGGACGGAATTCCAACGTCTGTCGGTATACTTTTCAGGACAAACAGGTTTCCCGAGTTCAGTTTGCTTTACAGCCATTTAAACAGTTCAACAGCTCGGTTCTCTCATTTGAGATTAAAAACATGAGTAAGAAGACCAGTTTGCTGGTGGACAATCAGGAGCTCGGCTACCTCAATAAAATGGACCTGCCTTACAAGTGCATGCTCAGGTTTGGAGAGTATCAGTTCCTGTTGGAGAAGGAAGATGGAGAGTCGGTGGAATCTTTTGAGACTCAGTTTATCTTGTCTCCAAGACCACTCTTGCAAGAAAACAACTGGCCAACACAGAGTCCTGTACCTGAGGATTCGGGGTATTCATCCTACTTCACCCATAGGACTTCTCCTACAGAAATGGATGAAAATGAATTGTGAAGAGAGCCCATGCAGAGAAACATGAAGGATGAAATGTGAAGGATGGATGAGGACACATGGGGAGACCCTTGCGAGGCATCCTACTGCTTAAGAGTTTATGAGTGTAGTGTAGTACAGATATCTGCATGCTGACTTTGGATTTAGTAATAGCATTCGGAAGTCCATATATAGATTGTGTTTGTCATCCACTTAGTCAGCTGTCTGCATTCCGGATCTACAAAGAATTAAGTGTACGTCCGTAAGGGTTAGTGTATAAAACACACCTCCTGTGTAATGCTATTCTCGGTCCTTTTTCTGCTTGATGACACTCCCATGCTTTGTTTTGGTATCAGCCAAGCTTGGTCACATCATTTCGTAGCAGCCTTTGGTTTTCAAGTTCAGAGCTCAGGCGGATTGTTCACTGGTGTCTGTGGCATGTTAATACTTGTAGAGCTGGAGTCCTGGAATGAGTTCTTGAGTCTCATCTGAGTCACTGTGGTTTCATTATGGAAAGACTTGAGAAATAACACCTTGATTTTCTTTCTATGGAATTATAATATTTATTTCTAAGACGGCAGTTTTGCTTTTCTGTATGTAGGACCTACAATTAACATTTAAAGAACATGGAGATTAAAATTATTTTTTTACAAAATTGAAAATTGCCGGGTGGTGGTGACACATGCCTTTAATCTGCCTCAGGAGGCAGAGGCAGGTGGATGGATCTCTGTGAGTTCAAGGCCAGCCTGGTCTACTGAGTGAGTTCCAGGACAGCCAGGGATTTACAGAGAAGTACTGTCTCAAACAAAATAACACAAAATCACCACCACCACCACCACCAACAACAAAAAAACCCCAGAAACTGAAACTGAATTTTATGTATCTTACACAATTTAAAAATCGCAGAAATCAAAACTTTTAGCAGCCTCTTTGCGTTTGATGACGTCAGAGCTCAGGCCACTAGCCTCTTCTCTGAGACTTCCTAAAGAAGGAAAACGCTCATGCTCAGACTGCTCTATAGAAGTAACTATATGTGAATATTTATAATAAATGCTTTCATATTTCTAAACTTTCAGTTTCACAACTTTTAGAAGTTGTATTTATTTAAGAGATCCTCATTCAATTCCTTTTGGCTAGATGAAGATGAATGTTTGTGAATGTTATGTAAAAGAGAATGACAGACATCAAGTTAAGATAAATTCTGGCACTACCAGGAAGCAAGGCTCCCTGTGTAATTACCTTGGTAAATGAAATTCTGTGCTATAACAGATGAGGTGGGGGGAACTAACCATATATATACACACATATATACATATATATGTATACACACACACACACACACACACACACATATATTTGTTTTTGAGACAACATCTTGCTTTGAAGCTCAGGCTGGCCTTGAACTCATGATCCTCCTGCATCAGCCACCTGAATGCTGTGCTTACAGGTGTGCAACCCCCCACCACCCGTGCTTAGCTTAATGTAACTGTATTTCTGCAGCAACCCTTCAAAACTATTTCTAATAAACTTTTCAGGCTGGTGCCATGGGAATGTCATGCGCAGTATGTCTCTTGATGTAGATCGCCAGTCACTCCTCCACCGTGAAACAGGACCTCAGCTGCTGCCACAGCCCCAGGCCTGTTGCTATGGAAACTGTTTCCTGTCTCTGCTAAGTGCCCAGATGACTGTTTCATTTCTTGGTTTTTCTGCTGACTTCTGTGTTAATATTCTGACCTGCCTCTTGGGGCCACCCTGGGATCTGACATAGAAGCCTATTCTTAAGGGAAAACCCCACCCCTTCCTTCTCCCCCTTCTGCTTTCCTCCTATGAGGTACGCACCTCTCCAACCCCTCACCCGTCTCTCCTTTGTCTCTGTCTCTGTCTCTGTCTCTCTCTGTTTGTCTGTCTTCCTCACTCTGTCTTTCTGCCTCTTCATCTCTCTATTATAATAAACTCTCCATGTGGATGCAGCATCTGGGGTGTGTATCTCCCCACATGGCCTGCATCTCATCTCGTTGTATCTGCCCAACATGCCCCCCTGCACATGCAGGATACTCTCAGGGAACCTCCCGCATACATGATCATAACATTGGTGATGTCATAACACATGGGGGAGCAGAGTTACCGTGGGACTTAGAAAACACCTTCAGATGGTCTCCATACTGTGGTGGGTGAAGGACGAAGTCTAATATATCACGACACTGTGGTAAACAAAGAGTGGCATACAGGTGTCCGGGTGTCTCCGTGCTGACTGCCAGAACCTGTGAGTGTGTCATGACAAAGCAGAAATAAATGAGTGCTGTGGGTAGAATTAAGGTTGCTCACTACCTGATCACAAATTAAAAGAGGTCAGCCTGGATTATCCCAGGTCCAGTTAATAACAGGGTTTTTAAAAGCAGGGGAGTAAGACAAAAGACACAAGAATGATGGAGTGGGACAAGGACTTGGCCTGCTGGGAAGGGTTTTGCACTTGGAGGAAGGGGGCCATGAACCAAGGAATGCAGCAACCTCTTGAAGCCAGAGAATGTGCAGAGAGATCCACATGCTGGAAAAGGCAGAGAAACCTCAGCAAGAATTGAAATCCTGGGGACTCTTTAGTCCACAGACACTTGCCTTTGACTTCTGACCCATAGCATTTCAAGATGCTAGGTTTTTGTTGCAAATTACAGCAGCAAAGAGCAAACAGAACTACTCCTTCTGATGTAAGGTTATGGTCTTAAATACTGTTCTACTGCTGTTAAGAGGCACCACGATCAAGGCCGCATATAAAAGGAAGCATTTAATAGGGGCTCGATTACAGTTTCAGAGGGTGAGTCCATGACCATCATGGTGGGGAGTGTGGCAGCATGCAGGCAGGCATGGCGCTGGAGCAGCAGGTGAGAGTTTACATCCTGATCCAAAGGTAGAAGGTGCAGAGAGGGCTTTAGAAACCTCAAATCCAGTGACATCACCTCCAACAAGGCAACACCTCCTAATCCTTCTGAAACAGTCCACTAAATAGGAACCAGACGCTCAAATATAAGAGTCCATGGAGGCCATTCTCATTCAAACCACTGCTGGCATTTCTTGCCACTACCTAGCTTTAGGATTACACCTTCTTGTCTGATGCAGATTTGTGAACTAGACCACCTCGCTTGTTAGACGTGCTTACAGAGGAGGGGAGGGTGCAAGGGCAGAGAGTGGAAGCAGGGAGACCGGGAGATGAGTGGGATCATGATGTAGGATGTGAAATCCACAAAGAATCAATAAAAAGTATTTTTTTAAAAAGTGCTTACAGTGTGAAGAGTCTCGCAGCAAAGGCTGCCTAGGAATGTAATAGGTGAGTATAATAGTGTTCTGATTACAAATAACCAGACCTCTTCTGAGCTATTCAAGGACAGAGGGGGTGACTAAAGGGAAACTAAACGAGCTACCAGAAAGAAAAGAAGGATGACTGCAGCCTCTGCTAAGATTGCATCGCCCAACCTCATTCCTCTGTGGACGGTGGCCCCATTGCTCATGCACATGTCTGCCTGTGGCCACCAGGAACTCCCAAGATTTGCCTACATTAATCGCTCAGAGAATCTGACCTCCCTAATTCAGTTCTTGGAAGGGGTAAGCTTGAGTGAGATGTCCAAGCCTCCACCAATCAACTCTGAAGGTAACATAATCACATTCTAAAACAGCTGCCCCAGCAGGGCGGTGGTGGCGCACACCTTTAATCCCAGCACTCGGGAGGCAGAGCCAGGCAGATCTCTGTGAGTTCGAGGCCAGCCTGGGCTACAAAGCGAG